AGAGCTGCACCTTTAACTTACACACGCTTAAAAAGATGGTTCTTCAAGGGTTCTTTAAAAAGAAAAATAGCTCTATATGGAACCATGAACAAGAACCCTTTTCATGCTTTAATGGTTCTCTGTATGGTGAAATGGTTCTTCAGATTGATGGAAAATAAGTTGTATATGGTTCTATATAGCACCAAAAAGGGTTCTATTATTGTTAATGAGCTTAGGACAATAGAAAAACACTTTGTGTTGCTATATAGAACCCTTTTCAAAAAGGTTCCACATAGAACCATCTACAACAAATACTCCAACAATCCGAAGAACATTTCACTATGCGAAGAATGCTTTAATCATGCAAATGGTTCTTTGAGTGTTCATGGTTCTATATAGAACCATCTTCTTTACTACAGAACCCCTGAAGAACCTTTTTAAGAGTTAGGGTGCTATTAAAAAGAGAAGAACACCACATACATCCCACTTTAAAGTGACAGACAGTCTGGTGAGCAGGAAATTTACACACTAAAAGAGATGGTTCTTCAAGGGTTCTTTAGTAAAGGACATGGTTTTATTTAGAACCATGAGTTCGATATAGAACCATTTGCATGATTAAATGGTTCTTCACACTGATAGAGGATGTGCTGTGTATGGTTTTATAAAACACCAAAAAGCGTTCTTCTATTATAAGCTTGACACCAGAACAATAGCAGAAGCCTTTTTGGTGCTGTATAGAACCATTTTCAAAAAGGTTCTATATAGAACCATATACAACACATTCTCCATCAATCTGCAGATTCACCATGTAGAGAACCATTTAGCATGCAGATGGCTCTATGTAGAACTCATGGTTCTAAACACAACCATTGCCTTCACTAAAAATCTTGAAGAACCGTCTGTTTTAAGTGTGTACCAGGTAGTACACCAGCTAGGCTGTTACTATGGTATCCCAGGTAGTTGCTAAGTTGTTGCTAGGCTGTTGCTACGTTATCCTAGGTGGTCGCTAAGGTGTTGCTAGGCTGTTGCTACGTGATCCCAGGCGGTCGCTAAGGTGTTGCTAGGCTGTTACTATGTTATCCTAGGCGGTCGCTAAGGTGTTGCTAGGCTGTTGCTATGTTATCCTAGGCGGTCGCTAAGGTGTTGCTAGGCTGTTGCTACGTTATCCCAGGTGGTTGCTAAGGTGTTGTTAGCCTGTTACTCTGTTGTCCCAGGTGGTTGCTAAGGTGTTACTTGGCTGTTACTATATTATCGCAGGTGGTTGCTAAGGTGTTGCTAGGCTGTGCTGGTTTTGATGATCCTGAATCTTCTACCAGAGGGGCGTGTCTGGAAGAGATGATGTCACTTAAACAGAGCAGCTGCTGCAGGTTTAAAAAATGTAAATAATAGAAAAACACAAACTCCTCTAAAACGAGCACACATGAGTCTCTGCTGCGCTCAGATGATCAATCAGTTCAGATCTCTGTATTTAGCAGATTCAGTCCTGAAATCAGGAGCTCCCCAGCCCCCCAGCCCCCCAGCCCCCCCAGCCCCATGTTCCCTGCTGTTACTTTAAAATCAGTGGGCTGAGGAATAAAATGCTAATTGCTAACCAGTGGGCTTTAAGCTCCAGTTGCTTGTTAGCCTCGTAGCTCCAGCTCCAAAACTACAGAAGATTCAGACATCAAACAATTTTTGTCACTTTAAATGTGAATTTATATTTGTTCCATTTTCTTAAATAATTGTATTTCATAATATTGTTTTTTCTGCAGAAATCAGTGCTGATTATTGTGGTCATCAGTCCGAAATACAAGATGGATGTGGAGGGGGACGGCTCAGACCAGCACGGACTGCACACCAAATACATTCACACACAGGTGAACACACACAGCCTCACAGACGTCACAGCTGATATTCATCATTTTCCTATACATTTTGAATAATAATAATAATAATAATAATAATAATAATATTAATAATAATTAATTGCGTCTTTGCGTTTACATTCAAACTATGCTCTGTGTTTCCCGCTTTGTTTTTTCGGTATCAAAAATGTCAAAAAGCTGTAGTAAGAAAGAGCAGAAAATAATAAATTACTACTCGAGAAACAGATCAGCTCACTTGGCGTCTCCACGGTGGCACTGTGCCAGCGGGCTGTGCCCTGTGGCTGTGTGAGTTATGATGATGTGCTTTACACTGTAAACCATTAAATGATGTCGTCGGTGATTTATTTATTTGCTGTGGTGCGTTTGATGATTCCAACTGCAGACCGCTTCAATTTGAGTGAGTGAACATAAACATTTACACAAAACACACAGCAGATTACATGATTTGACTCTATGCAAATTAGCACAGTACATGCAAATGAGCATAAACTTTGAGCGAAACGAAACCTGAACCCTCCTTCGCCAACTAAGAGGCTGAAATACTCCTGCGGTTTTCTTTAAGCTGTCGCGGGGTGATAGAGCAGGGTGATAGAGCAGGGTGATAGAGCAGGGTGACAGAGCAGGGTGACAGAGCAGGGTGATAGAGCAGGGTGATAGAGCAGGGTGACAGAGCAGGGTGATAGAGCGGGGTGATAGAGCAGGGTGATAGAGCAGACTGACAGAGCGGGGTGATAAAGCAGACTGACAGAGCAGGGTGACAGAGCAGACTGATAGAGCAGGGTGACAGAGCAGACTGATAGAGCAGGGTGACAGAGCAGACTGACAGAGCAGGGTGATAGAGCAGACTGACAGAGCAGGGTGATAGAGCAGGGTGATAGAGCAGACTGACAGAGCGGGGTGATAGAGCAGGGTGACAGAGCAGACTGACAGAGCGGGGTGATAGAGCAGGGTGACAGAGCAGGGTGATAGAGCAGGGTGACAGAGCAGACTGACAGAGCGGGGTGACAGAGCAGAGTGATAGAGCAGGGTGACAGAGCAGAGTGATAGAGCGGGGTGATAGAGCAGGGTGACAGAGCAAGGTGATAGAGCAGAGTGATAGAGCAGACTGACAGAGTGGGGTGATAGAGCAGGGTGACAGAGCTGGATGATAGATCCGGGTGATAGAGCAGGGTGACAGAGACGAGTGATAGAGCGGGGTGATAGAGCAGGGTGACAGAGCAGGGTGATAGACCAGGGTGACAGAGCGGGGTGATAGAGCAGGGTGATAGAGCAGGATGACAGAGCAGAGTGATAGACCAGGGTGACAGAGCAGGGTGATAGAGCAGGATGACAGAGCAGAGTGATAGAGCAGAGTGATAGAGCAGGGTGATAGAGCTGGATGACAGCAGGGTGATAGAGCAGGGTGATAGAGCAGGGTGATAGAGCTGGATGACAGCAGGGTGACAGAGCAGGGTGATAGAGCTGGGTGACAGAGCAGAGTGACAGAGCAGGGTGATAGAGCAGAGTGACAGAGCAGGGTGATAGAGCCGGGTGATAGACCAGGGTGATAGAGCAGGATGACAGAGCCGGGTGATAGAGCAGAGTGATAGAGCAGAGTGATAGAGCAGGGTGATAGAGCAGAGTGATAGAGCCGGATGATAGACCAGGGTGATAGAGCAGAGGGATAGAGCTGGGGATAGAGCTGGGTGATAGAGCAGAGTGATAGAGCAGAGTGATAGAGCAGGGTGATAGAGCAGAGTGATAGAGCAGGGTGACAGAGCAGGGTGATAGAGCAGGGTGATAGAGCAGAGTGATAGAGCAGGGTGACAGAGCAGGGTGATAGAGCAGGGTGACTGAGCCAGGTGACAGAGCAGGATGACAGAGCAGGGTGACAGAGCAGGGTGATAGAGCAGAGTGATAGAGCAGAGTGATAGAGCAGGGTGACTGAGCCAGGTGACAGAGCAGGGTGATAGAGCAGGGTGACAGAGCAGGGTGATAGAGCAGGGTGATAGAGCAGGGTGACAGAGCCAGGTGACAGAGCAGGATGACAGAGCAGATGTCTCTGATGTGTCATGTCTGGATGTGTCTCAGTGATTGTTTATGTGACGATTTCTGCTTTCAGATCCAGAACGAGTTTATCCAGCAGCGCTGTCTGAACTTCAGACTCGTCCCTGTGCTCTTCCCGAACGCTAATCAGGTGAGATCATGATAAAGCGAAAGATCAAATCCCCCCAGTTTCCCCTCTCACTCCAAATGTAGTATCAGCCAGGATGTGTTTGGTGTCTGAAGTTTGCTTCTGTAGTTTTAGCGCTGGAGCTATGAGGCTGATGTAGCTAACAAGTAATGGAAGCTTATTAGTACTAGCCAGTTAGCATGGTGCTAACTGTATACCCAAATCATAGCATCCTCAACAAAAACTGTGTGGAGTCGTTATGTAACCTCTAACAGACGTGATTATGTGCTCTTCTTCAAACTGTTCTCTGTAAACATGTATTTAAGATTAGCTAGAAGCCTCATAGCTAACTGGACATTTCCAGTTTAGTGGTCAATAAAGCATTAAAATATCCAGTGTTTTATCTATTAAATAAAAAGCAGGGCAGGTCCAGTTTCCTGTATTTTGTCCATGGTAACTGCTGTACTGTAATAATCTCTGCTGAAGGCCGACTGATAAAACTGGGTACTGACTAAATAACTTTGTAAACCGAGTCACAAAATCATACAGTACCTACCATGGAGAGGGAAGCTGTGGTGATCTATGGAAAAAGAGACCCGTGGCTACAGAAAAAGCCCAGTATCCAGACCCTAAACTCCCCCCTGGGCAGCTCCAGTTCTGGACAGACAGAGATGCTATCAGCGTGTGCCGTATGTCACATATGGAGGCTGAAAAAGTGACGCAGTTTAAAATGATGCTCTGTTTGTTTATTTCATGGTGCTACATTTACATAGACTGTCTGTCTGTATGAATCAGAGCCCCCGATCAGCTGGTGGAGCGATTCAGTCCCGTAACTCCACCCCTGCTTTAACCCCTGGGTCACCTCGCGTCCTGAAAAGACGTTTGTGGTGATGTTGTGGACTCACTGGACACTTCTGGAGCTTCTGGTGGAGTTTTACACAGCAGTGTTCTCTAAAACTAGGCAAAGGGTGGTAGAAGTGGTCAGTAGATAGCAGCAGTAGCGCCTTCTGCTGGACAAAACAAGCACAACATGAGACGTCTGTCCATCTGCTCTGCAGCAGGGCTTTATTAGAGAAAAACCAGGTCCATCCCACCTTAAAGGTCTTTGAGAAGCAAACTTCACACACCAAACTGGGAAACTACATTCAGGAAAAGTAGGGGAAACTTGGTGTTTTGCCAAACTCCAGTATAGTTGGGCCAAAAGTAGTTGGTGATGTAGCTAACAGGGTGGCTAACAGTGAGGCTAGCAAAGCATGTCAGCCAGCAGCTAGCACAGCCACATTATTTACTGGCTTTTCTGATCTTCTACCTTCCATTTATTGTTCCCCATGTCTGCTTTTAGCTCTTCAAACGAATAAGAAGACATACTACAAATCATCTTAACTGTAATCTACCCTTTGAATTTCCCTGTAGAGTCACGTCCCGATGTGGCTGCAGAGTACTCGGCTGTTCCGCTGGCCGCAGGACGCTCAGGATCTGTTGCTGCGGTTACTGAGAGAGGAGAGATATATCCCACCGCCGCTGGGCAAGGAGCTGACCCTCACCATCAAACCGCTGTAGAACACCATAGAAGTACAGAGTGTGGCTAACAGTGAGGCTAGCAGAGTAGCCGTTAGAAATAAATGTTGATTACTGGTCTTCACGCTCTTCTGCTTTCAGTCTATAAGTCTAGAAATATTCTGTCACCTAAAAGCTCAGCGCACACGCTCTACAGATAAACTAGTTTATTAGCTCGTTTATAACCGTTTCCGGATATTTAGGCCTTATTTTGACTCCTTAAGTAGCTTATAACCTACTGAGCTGCTGAAACGCTGCTCGTGTCACACAGCTGACGTTAGCAAACGCTTCCCAAGGCTCATCATCATATAGCACTGCTAGTATGCTAGATTAGCACGTCAGGCTAATATTCATCAACATTCGCAAGAGTTTTCAAACCCAACATGACTACTTTTAGCTTAAATCATATCAGCATGTCTGTGACTGACGGAACACAGTGGGTCCCGTGGCAGTTTTAGAGGTGGGCAAAATGGCAAAATGATTATACCTTCAAGAAGTTTACACAATACACGATAAGTCACAATATTTATTTTTTCAGACATCTGACCAGCTGGAACAGAGAAGAAAGAGCCAGTAGTGCTACTTATTAAAAAATACTCTCAACAACTGTGAACAGAATGATTTTTATTCAGTATTTGGCACTAAATCCAGTTAAACAGGACTAATTTCGCCCTCTTTATGAGGAAACACGCAGCTGGTCAGTGCCTAAAAGCACTGACGATAAACATGATATGATCAGAAAAGTATATTGTATTATATTGTGACATAATTTATCAAGATATTGATATATATTATTATTTCGCCCAGCCCTGGGCAGTATCCACACAAACAGATGAGAATAAATCAGTGAAAACTGTTTATTAATCATGGAATTGACCAAACACACTGTGCTCTGTGAAACTTGTTCAGCATTTTGGAATAAAACATATAAGTGGGTGTGTGAAAAAACACATCTTTAGAGGTCAGTCTACAGAAACGGCCCAGTAAAATGTCAGTATACAGTGTATAGGCGTGACAACACCGCTGAATACAGAGATTTACAGGTTATGATGAAATAAATGAAGCTCTATCCTACAGTAGGATAATCCATGTCCTCAGAATCAGGCCTTAGTGTAAATAGCCAGCGTTCCTAAGTAAAAGAGATAATAATATGATAATAATATGTTGCCTATTAGCATAAACACTACTGTCTGACTGCTCAGTATCACAGCTTTATACTACAAATGAAGAGTACAGTCTTCCTCTGGCAGCCAGTGTGTTAAACACCGCCCAACACTCTGCTAGTTCTGCTGCAGTCAGTGTGTATTTCTGAGGCTGACCAGTGAACATGTTAGCGAAGCTAATACAAAGTGTCCAGACAGCCACAGCTCGCTAGCTGTCCTTTAAGAAACCAAAGAGCTTTAGCGTGCGCTGTTTATGAGCCATGTGCTGATTTTAATAGCAGTGCATTTGGCTGGGTCTGAATGTTAGACTCCAAGATTAGCTCTCCTCTCATGCCAAACACAGCCACCTGCTGGCGCTCTGCGCCCCTGTGCCAAACTAGCACTAATGTCAGTGCTGTTTCACTCAGGACGACACGGTGACCTCAGTACAGCCAACGGAGTCAGCAGATTCACTACAAACCCACTACACGGAATTAATGACGCACTGCACGCTGTTAATCAACACCAGACTGCTTAAACACTGCTATTCATAAACACTAAACTGCATAAACACTGCTATTCATAAACACTGCTATTCATAAACACTAAACTGCATAAACACTGCTATTCATAAACACTAAACTGCATAAACACTGCTATTCATAAACACTAAACTGCATAAACACTGCTATTCATAAACACTAAACTGCATAAACTCTGCTATTCATAAACACTAAACTGCATAAACACTACTATTCATAAACACTAAACTGTATAAACACTGCTATTTACAAACACCATACTGCATAAATACTGTTATTAATAATCAACATACTGCATAAATACTGCTATTCATAAACACCAGACTGCATATACACTATTTACAAACACTGTACTGCATGAACACTGCTATTCATAAACACCAGACTGCATAAACACTGCTATTCATAAACACCAGACTGCATATACACTGCTATTTATAAACACTGTACTGTGTAAACACTGCTATTCATAAACACCATTCTGCATAAATTCTGCTAATCATAAACACCAGATTTACTTCACCGTGTATAAACACTATGTAACGCATTAATGCTTCTACACAACCTACTGGTTAAATACTGCACACTGTGTTAATGATTTAAAGACTCAATATTGTATTAATACTAAGTGCTGCATGCTTTATGAACTCCACACTGTAAACACTGGAAGCTGTATTAATGCTTTATGAGCACTGTACTCATATTTGTCGGTCTATGAACTCTGTATAAGATCACACTGTGCTACACACTGGAAAGAGCGTGTTGTAGTTCTCCTCATGGCCACAAGAGGGCAGCACTCCACTTTCCTTATTAACTCCTGACTGTAGCCTTTGCTGCCCTCCTTTATCACCTGTGAGCTCTTTGTGTTTAAAGGATGGTGGTGTTTAATCTGAATGTTTCTGTAACGCCTCAGCTCTGACAGGTCAGCCTCCTCACGGTAGCTGCGCCTGTGTCTGTGTGATCTGATCTAATAAAGCTCTGAAGGCGCGTCTCTCTGTGGTCACAGCCCCGCTGTGGTGAACTGACCGCTCTGCAGTCTGTGTGGTGTTTTGGTGGATTAACCGGCAGTTATACAGCGCTGTGCTGTGATTTATAGCGCAGTGATTGAAGGTGGGCCTCAGGTGGTCTCTGTGTGATTTAGAGCCTCTCAGAAAGCCTGTCAAACAGACATTTATCAAACTGTGGAACCAGAACAGGGGGAGGGGCTTAAGCCACATCCCATAATTCACCACTAGGAATGTCAGAACCCTGTTTTACATGTTTTAGATCAGCATTTATCACAGAAACACCTGTTTAACACAGTTCTGTAGTTACTACACTCATACAAATCACGGTGCTCCAAGGGTTCTTCAATAAAGGCAATGGTTCTGTGTAGAACCACGAGTTCTATGTAGAACCATTTGAATGCTTAAATGGTTTTCTGGGTGGTGAAATGGTTCTTCAGGTTGATGGAGAATGTGTTGTATATGGTTCTATATAGAACGTTTTTGAAAATGGTTCTATATTAAACCAAAAAGGGTTCTTTTTTGTGTTGTATAGAACTGTCTACACTCTTTAAAAAGATGGTTCTTCAGGGGTTCTCCTTAGTAAAGAAAATGATCCTATATCAAACTGTGAACACTCAAAGAACACTTTGCATGATTAAATGGTTCTCTGCATGGAGAAATGGTTCTTCAGATTGAGGGAGAATGTGTTGGTTCTATGCAGCACCAAAAGGAGTTCTAGCTTGTATAAATTTGTTGCTATAAAGAAGCATCTACAGCACATTCTCCATCAATCTGAGAACCATTTAACCATTCAGAGAACCAGTTAATCATGCAAATGGTTCTTGGAGTGTTCATGGTTCTATATAGAACCATTTTCTTTACTAAAGAACCCTTAAAGAACCACACTTTTTTTAGGGGTTTTATGCTAATGATCATGAGCGTCAGGCCTCATTGAGGAGAACTGAGAACTGAGGGACTTTTAAACTACCTGCCCTTATAAATGTGCTGGATTGTGTCATAGCTTATCAGTCCAGCACCCCACCCCCCTCACTCACCCCTGACTGAGGGAATGTGTAAGTGGTGCTGACCTGAAGCGGAACTGCTTTGTTTTTCTCAGTGCGGCGAGTGTGAATGATTAATGACAGTAAACTGGGCCGCAGCGGCTGATAAGGACGGGCGTGTTTACTTTTCCACTAACCCCACCTGAAACAGGCCTTAAAGGGGCAGCCCAGCGTCTTTAAACCTAATCTGTATCTGCTGTACCTGTAGAACTCGGTCAGTCACCACCGACGGCCATTTCAACACGTTTATCTGAACTTAGAACACAAAACACGCTGACGTGGAAAAACTCACTTAGAATGGACGTCAATGGGCAGCAGAGAGAGACCTGGTTAAAAACACTGCTGGAGTGTTTCTTCAGGTCATCCACTGCTGTTCAAAGGTCTGAAATCACCTCCCATATAAGTCATTTTTGTTCATTTATACGCAATAAGCTGAAACATTGGGGGTTTTAATATTATAAACTAAGAAAAGAACAACAACGATTGTTGTGCTTCATAGAACAGACAGAGCAGGTTACTGCAGGTGTGCAAAGCAAGAAAAAACAATAAAAACGGAGTGGGAAGAGTATTGCATGGGAATGTTATTAACTAAACACTGGAACACTGTAGATTTAGAATGTAAAATAATACTGTAATATTCTATTTATAGTCATTTTTTACATTAGGATTAGTCTCCTCGTGTTTTACCCCAGTTTATTCTGGATATTAATGTTATTAGAGCTTGAAGACAATAGAAACTAGCAGGAGTAGCGTATTAGAATCATTCTATACATTCTATGCAACAGGTTCCACATCATTAAACAATATAAACTTTTTGAACTGATGGCAATATATAGTTTAGTCAGTCAGTCAGTACTGCAATAGCCCAAAAATATGCTGCTAACGTGTTTTAACATAAAAATACTACTTTATTATCTTGAATTATGTTTTTAGTATATATGTAGTATTTATAAAGCATGAAATGCATAACCAGAGCTTCATTTCTGAAGTAAAATCCGTGCATTATATCTGAACGGTCACTAGAGGGCGCGCCAGTTTATTTCAGTCGCGCTAGGAAAAGCCCCGCCCTAATCCTCCTTTGACCAATCAGCAAACGACTGCCAGTCCTCTAACCCAATCATAAGGCTAAAAAATAAGTAAACACCTTTTTTGTTTTGTCACTGCATGCTGTTCTATATTAATCTAGACTCATTTTATCCTTGTAGCTTATTTTAATTTAGTCTTATTTTTTTATTTCACAAACTACATATTTCATGATTTAATTTTAACAAAATCAGGAAAGTGTTGAAATCTTAAATCCTGTTTTTTGCAGGAGAGAGAAAATCTGAGCACTCACCACTGCTATCTTTTCTTCATATGAACATACTCATTTGCATTTGGGATTTGCTGAAGTTATGAACAACATAAGCGAAGCGAAAATGCAAATGAAGTGCGCTAAAGGTCCAATCACGGAGCAGAAGTGCAAATAAGCGCTTTATGACATCCAAACATGAATCAACATGTAAATAAATAACTACATAAATAAGCAAACAAACAAGCGCTCTGCGTAGCGTCCAATCACACAGCAACAATGCAAATGAGCACGCCATACTCCCTACGTTGCACGATCACAAATAATATAAATAAACATGCGGGGCTCCACATGCGATCCAATCACCGCGCGCTGTTCTCCGCTTAACGCCCAATCGCGGTGCGAAATGCAAATGAAGCGCGCTAACACCCAACCACACATCGGAAATGCAAATGACATTGATACGTCCCGGCCCGTGTGGGCGGGGTCAATCGGGGCCGCGCTGTGATCGTATTACAGGCGGTGGAGGCGGGAGGAGGGGGTGAGAGAGAGCGAGCAGCGGAGCGGCGAGGCGCCAGAGCCGGGGAGAGAAAACCCGGGCACCCGGGGCGGTCCGGAGGAGAGCCGAGCCCGCACACGAACACTGGCTTAAAGACGGAGGGCGACGGAGGATGGTCTCCGAGGGCCGCTCGAAGCGTTTCGGGAGCGAGACACCGTCGCGTTACGGAGCCTTTTCGCCGCCGTGAGGACTGAGCGGGGGAGATTTCAGGTTAGCCGCGCTGGCTAACAGCTTTAGCGTTAGCTTTAGCTGCCGTGCAGGCAGGACTCCTGTAGCCAGCGGGCTAGGCTAGGCTAGGCTAAGCTAAGGTGAGGTAAGGTGAGGTAAACTCAAGCCGAGCGACCGTGTTTGGGATTAAAAAGGAGCACAAAGGCTGTCAGCTCGATTTTAAAGACATTTGTGCCTCAGAAACGCACATTTTGTGTGAATATTTGGCGGTTGGTGCGACTGGAGAGCGATTTTTGTTTGTTTGCTGCGGCTGCGGGATCTCAGCCAGAGCGCCGCATTTCAATCAGAGCTGCTGGAGCCCTCAGTGAGAACACCAGAGGATCTACAGAATACTGAAAACACCAGAGGATCTTTGAAATACTAAAAACACAGAGGATTTATAGAATACTGAAAACACAGAGGACTGATAAAGCATTAAAATAATCAGAAGACATCTTTGGAATACTGAAAACACCAGAGGATTCCCCCAAAATTACTGCACGCACTGAGAATTTGGACCTGTTTTTGGAAATCTTAAACCATACTGAAAAAAGTAGGTGATTCATAAAATATTCAAGATTGCAGAAGATTCACAAAGCTTTAAAACATCAGAAGACCTTCCTGAAGTACTGAAAACACTTCCAATTTGGAGGATTTCCTTCAGTTTTTGGTTTTCTAATCTCACCTTCCCACTAAACTGACCAAACTGACCCATTTGTTCTGGATGCTGCTTTGCTTTGCTGACCAAGTCTGGCCAGCTTAGCACAAACACACAGTTATAACACAACTATAACAGCTATAACACAAACACAACAGCTGCAGATGTAAACAGAGCAGCCTGTAGAACACAACAAACACCAGTAAACACAACTACAACACAAACACAACAGCATTAACTTGTAATACAGTAATAACATAAACATAACTGAGGCAGCTTGTATAGCAAACCATAGTAAACATACATATCAGACACATCTGCATTGACCTCCATAGCGGAGCCGACCCCGATCCTCAGACAGCATGTTTTCCGTGCGGATTGTGTGTGCGGATTACTACATGGCCAGCCCCCTGGCCGGCCTGGACGTGTGTTATTCCGACTTTAGGGACAGCGAGGTGAAGAGGGTACCGGTGGTCCGGATCTTCGGCTCCACGCCAGCAGGTGTGTGTGTGTTCTTTATTCTTTGATGCCCACCAAACACTGTCTCCTAATGGTGGGCCACGCTTTGGTCTCCATCACATAGATAGCTCAGTGCTGTCCAGTAGGAGGACGTGTCAGGGACACTCCTATTGGACAGACCTAACTTAAGGCTTGAAGGGGAGTTCCACCAATTTCCCAAAGTTCTAACCTAATAATAATCATAAACAGTGATTCAGAGTGGTTTGGTTTGAAATGGTTCAGATGTCTTTACAGTGGTGATAGGAACCAGGGGTCGCCATGACTACAACACAGATATAGACATTTTATTTACTATCCAGAACCACCAGTGAACCTACACGAGTCTTCTGAGTTTATATGGAATGTTGATGATGGAAAATAGTGGAAAATCAGAAATAATAAGTTTTCTTTGGGGACTATTTTGCCTCACAGCGCCCTGAATATTATGTATCCCTCCACCATGAATGGAGTTTAAGACCAAAATCTTCTCTAAACTATCATAAAACAGTGTCTCAGTCATCAGGCAGTGAATTCATAACCATTTCATGTAGGAACTTTCTGTGAGGGAGCTTTTAGAGGTGGACGTCTGGTTCCTATCACCACCACTGTGAACAGTTCTGACTCGGTAAGTTTCTCTAGAACAGAGTGTTTCACACCAAATCACTCTGAACCGCTCTGATTACATCTTAACCACTTAATCATGCATAATTTTTGAAAAATTAGTTGAGTTCCCCTTAAGGTTTTCTGGCAAAATTGAGAGAATGCACTGATGTGTTTTCTTTAGCAGAAACGTTTAACACGTCAACATAAACACCAACTGAATCCCACCTGTTGCAGCTTCGTTCACGTTTCTAAACATGCGTCTGCAGGGTTCCTCACCCCCTTCACGACTTTCACACCTGAGGAGACCTTCAGACCTCAGGAAATGCTTCAAACGTACAGACACCACCTTAAAAATGTCAATACGCCCCCAAACCAAACCACTGTGCAGCTTTACTCACACACCTCCACATGCGTGTGAGATGTTCCTCAAAGCTTCTCTCTGCTGTAGATGGTTTTCAAATGCACAGATAGAACCTTCAGATATTTCTCATTCATTAACATTTGTGGAACGTGAGTGTTCTATTAAACATCCAGCAAAGCTTGAATGAAAAATGTGATATAAATATGAAAAACACTGCTTGACCTGTCTGAGGACTGTGTGGGCGTGGCTAATGAGCAGCTTGATTGACAGCTCTCTGTCCAACCCTAGTACCCTGCTCCGCCCCTCACACAGAACTAAAATCATTATCCAGCCATGGAGGAACAGATGTGCAGACAGATGGACGGACGAAGCAAACGAGTGAACGATCTTGGTGTTGATAAACGAGTGAACGGGTGACAGGCGGCTACAGACAGGTGGGCTAGCTTGCTAGCTTTAGCTTGCTAAGCTTCTCTGACTCTGAAACTGTTCTGTGTGGGTGGGGCCAGAGACGCAGCCCTGTGATTGGTCAGGGGAATGATTACGGACACGCTACCCAAGATTAGTTACCAGTTTACAGCGAGAGGAGAGAAATATGGTGAAATATATGGGTCAGTTATTGGTCAGTGGAACGTTATTCAAAGGGTAAACTTAGTACATGTTTACTGTTTACCTGCAAGAACCACATTAACCTGATTAGAGAGAAAACTGATTTAGGTTCTTTGAGTCGTTTAGTCAGCACAGCTGTGTTCTGCATGTAGAAATGTGACATTTAAAGGTGTATTTAGTGGACACTATGCTGCGAATCCGATCTCGCTTTTCCAATTATGCATTAAATGAATGTGACATGAACATAATAAGATCAAACATGTAGCTTTGTGGATGTGTGTAAATCAGTGCTGTCCAAAATACCATTTTTTGGGCTCAGGAGCTTCGTTACTAATCAGCAGCTATTATCTACAGTGTTGAGATCACAACTGCAGCTTCATCCGCTGTAGAATCCGAATCTCCAGCGCTATGGCGCTCACACTGCAGCCTCACTCCGTCTACCAGCCCGCTAGCCTCTCTTAGCGGTGGGCTAGGTGGGGTAACAGCGCGGTCCATGCATGGGTTGCTCAGCGCTTCATGGAGGTGGTCTGACTCAAGGTACGACGGGCAGCATCGTGGCCCTGGTGAGGGTCAGTAAGGCGGGGCACTGTTTGCAGCTGTGGTGGGAATACATGCTGTCTAACACCGTGTTAGCATGACAGGCGCCCTTCCTATACCGATACCTGATCCTTTAATATCGGCCGATACAGAGTAACGATACCAATACTAACTCTATCTAATCTAACTCGCCTCTGAGTCCTGATATTTACACAGTTACATTTTCAAAGTATTTTATTTTGGCAAAGTCTTTGTTCTGCATCACAAATAAAACACACTCAGCTTTTCTAGATGCCACACAGCGGCAGACGAGTGATACTCCAATACAGCCGATACAGCATTCGTACACTTTTATGTTGAAGAGCCTCAGTGTGGGGGGAGTGGTGGGTTCTCTGTAGTAGATCAGAGTGTTTTTAGCTGTTAGCACTGGAGAGGCTGGGTTTCTTATCACCGTGTTTGGTGCTGCGTTATGGTATAAGATTCTCCACTGAGGGGAAATCCAGTCCAGGGTCCAGGACTGGGCTTCATCCCTCACCCTGGAATCTTTATATAGCGCATGTATCCAGCGCAGTAACACACTTACAGTTACACACATCCACCGAATCCCAGCTGCGTAGCTTTATTCGTATTTTAGCACATGCATCTGCAAATACGTACAGAAGTTAAGGTTCCTCTGTGTCTTTAGAACAGTCAGAAACGTTCTGTCCTTGAAGCTGCACTATGGAGGATGATATCAGGCTTGTAGCAATAGAAGAATCACTTTTGGTGATATATTGAACCCTTTCCAAAGGGTTCTATATAGAACCAGCTACAGCACATTCTCCATGAATCTGAAGAACCGTTTCACCATGCAAAGGACATTTTTACCATGCATAGGGTTCATGTAGTGTTCGTGGTTCTATGCAGAACCATTATCTTTACTAAAGAACCCTTGAAGAGCCTTTTTTAGGAGTGCATGTCAAGCATGTAACAATAAAAGAACACTTCTTGGTGCTGTACAGAACCCTTTCCAATAAGGTTCCATACAGAACTGTCTGCAGCACATTCTGAAATGGTCCTTTATAGAACCATGAACAATCAAAGAGCCCTTTGCATGATTAAAGGGTTCTTTGCATCTTTAAAGGGTTCTTCTGTTGTTATGATGTCCAGCTTGTAACAGTAGCAGTACCCTTGTTGGTGCTGTGTACAACCATATAGAATACCTTCTCCATCAATCTGAGAAACCATTTCACCATGCTAAGCATGCAAATGGTTTTTGTGTGTTCATGGTTCTATATAGAACCATTTTCTTTACTAAAGAACCCTTGAAGAACCATCTTTAAGTGTGTAACTACAGGTTTTATTATAGAGTGAGCAGAATTTGGCCTGTTTAATTGGATTTAGTGCAGTTTGTTAAATATTCAATACAAATTATTTTAGTTATAGGTTTATTATTATTATTATTATTATTGTTATTATTATTATTGTTATTACTACTATTATTATTGCTATTAATGTCTGTTCCAACTTATTAAATCTCAGAAAAGCCAAATATCTAGACCAGTAGATCAGGTTAATCTCATTGTTCAGGACCTTCCAGTAGTTTTATACATCACAACGACATTAAACATGTTTATTAATCTTATGTACCCCGTGCATTAACACAGTCCCCCTCCGCACCCCCCCATCACTCTACATGTCAGAAACAAGGTTTGTCTGAAGGTTCTGCGAGACCACAAGCCACAAGATCTACTGCTGTAATTATCTTAACTGACTCACAGCTGATTTAAACACCCCAGAATGTGTCATGCTGACGCCCGCGGTCACTGATGCCGCGGTCACTGATGCCCACCACATCCCGGTCTTTTCTGTTCACGTTTCCATCTGAATTAAGGTTCTCCTACAAGACCACAAGCCACATGATCCAGCTCTGCGGTTTCCTCACTCGGCCTGCGCCCAGATGAAGCCAGTCGGAGCAGCTGGGCAGCATTAGTGATGGTGTGGACGGTCACGTTTGTCCTCCCCGTCACCGTTGGCGCGGCTGGGCGGCGTGCAGTGGTGCGTTCATCTCTGAGGGGTTTGAGCGTCCGACCCCGCCGCTCACTGTCCAGCGTGATCGCTCAGAGAGCGAGACCGAGCGTGACTAATCAGCCTGAACACAGCGGGGTTAAAGAGAGAGTTTACACTACACGGAACTGATCGGATGTGATCGGTGTCTGAAGTTTCCTTCTTTAGCTTTAGCGCTGGAGCTACGAGGCTAACGGAGCTAACAGGTAACGGAAGCTTATAAAGAACAGCTAGCATGGCGCTAACTGCAGGCCTGGTGTCTGATGCTGTGTGACGTTGAATGCTGAGCTGCTGCCCCGAGCAGGACAGTGAATTCAGGTCAGACAGCTGGGCCTCAAATCCTTAAATGAACTGAGAGAGAGAGAGAGAGAGAGAGTGGGGGGGAAGAGTGTGAGAGAGAAACAGAGAGAGGAAGAGAGAGAGAGAGGGAGAGAGAGGCTGGTTTTGATTTGTTTTTATTTTTTAATGCTGTTTGTATTTTCCTGAGAGCAGAACGACATCTGGGAGCGGTTAGAGCCCAACACTGTAAACACTCTCTCTCTCTCTCTCTCTCTCTCTCTGTTCTCTTTATATCTCTATTCTCTCTCTCTCTCTCTCTCTCTCTCTTTGTTCTCTTTATATCTCTATTCTCTCTCTCCACTCGTTCCAGAGTGTTTTTCTGAGATCTTTCCTGAACTCCTTCCTGTTTAAGAGCGTTTGTAAGGTTCTGCTCTCTCGCCTCAGTTAGCCTTGATCAGCGCCTGGAGGCTGCGCAGTATATTAACAACAAGTCTGGAAGCTTTTGACATTCAGCGTTCAGCGTGATCGACAGCTGCCTGTGTTGACTGACATAATAATCAGCCAATCGCAG